CTGTTACCACTACCGCTAATGCTAATGCTACTACTGCTACTACTGCTGCTGCTTCTACTGTTACCACTACCGCTAATGCTAACGCTACTACTGCTACTGCTTCTACTGTTACCATTACCGCTAATGCTAACGCTACTACTGCTGCTGCTTCTACTGTTACCACTACCGCTAATGCTAATGCTACTACTGCTACTACTGCTGCTGCTTCTACTGTTACCACTACCGCTAATGCTAACACTACTACTACTACTACTACTACTACTGCTGCTTCTACTGTTACCACTACCACTAATGCTAACGCTACTACTTCTACTGCTGCTGCTGCTGCTTCTGCTGCTTCTACACCTACTGCTACTACTATCTACTGTTTTAGCTACCACTATAACTACCTCCCTTTACTACCCTACAAACTACTTACTATTACTATTGCTGTTACCCACTACTACTACTACTAACTACTACCTACTGCGCTACTGTACTTGCTACACTATGCTACGCTACTACTACTAGCTACTACTGCTCTATTGCTCCTACCTACTACGCTACTATTACTACTACTACTACTACTGCTACACTACTCACTACTACTGCTACCACTTACTACACTACTACTAACGCTACTAAACCGCTACTACTACTACTACTACTGCTACTACTACTACTACTGCTACCACTACTACTACTACTACTACTGCTACTACTGCTACCACTACTACTACTACTACTACTACTACTACTACTACTGCTACTGCTACTACTATTACTACTACTACTACTACTACTACTACTACTACTACTACTACTACTACTACTACTACCGCTACTACTACTACTGCTACTACTACTGCTACTACTGCTACTATTGCTACTGCTACTACTACTACTGCTGCTACTATTACTACTGTTACTGCTACTGCTGTAAATTAATTGGGCCAATGGCTAAGAGCCTTCTAAATAAACACAGAGCTCATCCCTGATTAGTGGACATTTATAACCTCCTCTTAGTGAGAGAGGTGCTTTGGTCTAAAGGATATACTGTCATTGACCTGAGTGCTCACAGCAGGGGCAATACAGTAGCTAGGGTTATTTGTTTAGATAACCATCTACCCCTTCCTCCGGTCAATCAAATACACCTTCAAGCTCAAGGAATGCTTGCGCATAGCTACAAACAATGCAAAACCTAATTTGAGTCACTGCATTCTTTTTAAATTTGTATATTGATTGCGAGGGACTATAATCAGAACCAAAGAAGTGTTTTAAACAGCATATGGCATCATTGAAACGTTTGACTGGCGGGACTTAAACTGTGTAGTTAGGGGACCTTTGAGGCCCTCCTTCCTTGTTAGTTTTAAGTGAGAGTTGCACGTCTTGTAGCTCTCCGATTCCCATGGCTGTTTGAGGGCTAGTGCATTGGGACGGATCAGTGTGAAAGCAACACAATGCTGCCTTTCACTGTGTCTCTCTGTCTGTCTCTATGTCTGTCCACCACCTCATCCACTCACTTCCTGTTGCTGAATAATTGCGCTCTGCCAATGGCGAGGTCACCACGGCCTGCTCACAGAAACACAAATATTGCCACAGAGGAACAAAAGCATGTATTCTGTGGCCTTTTTTCCATCATTTGAACTTGGCTGAATTGAATTTCACAGGGTTTGCATGCGAATGCCACTGATGCCTTAAGCTATGATAACAGAATTAGTGCTTTGGGAAGCATTTATTCCCCTATTTGAAGTCAGGCTCAACTTGTTTACTTAGCAGAAATAGCACAGGGAGGCTGAGCCGGGTGGAAGGGCTCTGTAAACACAAAGCAGCTACCACAAATACTTTGATGAGGCTAAATATAGCCTCGGAATATGTGTGTATAAACCAATTAAATTAAACTCCCCACTGGGCACACACATGTTGAATCAATGTTGTTTCCATGTCATTTCAATGTAATGACGTGGAACCAACGTGGAATATACGTTTAATTGACGTCTGTGCCCAGTGGGTCTCTAACTGTCAGTGGCAGGAATCACATCGGCATAATCCACCATGAGCCACCTTGAGTCAACCAATCCTCTCTGGTGATTTCAATGTATATGTTGCATGTATTATTTACAGCCGATTTGGGGTCAAGTTACTCTCTGGGGATTTTAGTGTACAGCAAAAGTACAGTAAAGGTCAGTCCAGTTACCTTATTGATGTGGATCAGTTTTGTTTTTTAGATCATAATGAACGGACAGGGGGGACCTGATCCTAGATACGCACTCCTACTCTGAGAGGCTTTATGAATACAGGATCTGCTGCTGGTACTGTTTCTTACCTTATTGATGTGGATCTGCTGTTGGTACTGTTTCTTACCTTATTGATGTGGATCTGCTGTTGGTACTGTTTCTGCTTCTCCAGGAAGTGCTGGTGTTGCTGCTGGATGACCAGCTGAGCCAGGGTGCTCTGGGGCAGAGGGGCTGACTGGGTCCGGTTCAGGGGCCGGTGCTTGGGCAGCTTGGGCCTGCTGTTGGCGGAGGGCCTGTCCTTCATGGCCAGGGGGGAGTGGGGGTGGGCGGGCATGGAGCCTTGACCTGGAGGGGCGAGACGGCGGCACTAAGATTCTACTTTCTAAATCTACAGTAATTCCAACTCATTTAATTCATGATCTTCATGACCACTTCTTCAACTAATTATAAGCAATATTTAATAATTCAATATCTCTCCCATTCAAAGTGGTGTAATTCTATAGCCTAGTAACCCGGTCAGACTGTAGTCTTGGACTAAAAAGTTCCACTGTGATATTCCATTGAGTATGCTTTTTAGTCCAAGACTAGGCTTAATCAATGTCCGGGAAACGGGCCCTACATCTAGGTTTAAGTCTGTCTCAGTGTAAGGATAAGGACTCACCAGAGGAGGAGAGGATCTTCTGTCGTCTCATCTGTTCCTTCTGGAGGAGGTGTTGGAGCAGGGCCTGATGGCTGGGGGACACCTTGGTCTCCATGGAGGTCACTGTGGGCATGGGCACAGGCCCCAGGAGCTGCCCTGGTAAACCATGCCTGACCTCCCCAGTCTTCTCCTTCAGCCCAATGGCAGCCTGAGAAAACACAGAGACACACAGAGCAGGGGCTTAGAATTAGAACTGGGGACTAAAGTTCACAGAATATAATGGTGGCTCTATGCATTCTATTACGTTTTCATTTTTTTTAAACTGAGAAGAGTTGTCATTTTGTGCAATCAGGTTTTTTTTCTACATTATTGGGCAGAAACACTTGAAATAATTTTGTTTTCGACAATCACTTCTTCAAATGGTTACACTCTTTATATCCAGCTGATGTACCAGACAGGTCTCAATGTAAGGAATGTGTCAGGGAGCTAAAAGTGATGTATCATGCACTGCTTTGGCCCTTATCTGGACTGGAGCTAGCTGTACTCGAGCGGGCGGGCAGCGGGCAGCAGGCCGCTGGGACGTTTTAAAAAGCTGTGATTAATGAGGTCATAGAGAGAGATAAGAGGAAGCCTGACACCAGACTCTTAACAACAATATTTATCTAAGGGGAATAAAATAATCTGGGGTTAAAGGTCGCTGCCCTGCTGCCATATGTATAATCCTGACAGCCACTGATGCCAAGTCTTTCAACAGCCATACCAGGCAGAGAACGTCTCTCAGACTACACTTCCCTTTGTTTTTCAGGGAAAACCTGACTTTGTTATCTAGGAAATTGTCGGGTAAAACCTCATTTGAACCACCTGGCTATGTATTACAAAAGTGGTTCAGTTGAAAGTGTTACAGAATGTTGTTCTACAAAGTAAAGACTAGTTCATATCTATCTACATAACAAATGAGAAATCCTCTCTCTGTTAACCTGTTTGAGAGAAGGTGTAAAAGCTAGCCACCTAGCTAACCAGGATCAGGTCATGGTGGCTGGTTGAACTAGCTAGCCAGGATCAGGTCATGGTGGCTGGTTGTACTAGCTATCCAGGATCAGGACCAGGTCATGGTGGCTGGTTGTACTAGCTAACCAGGATCAGGTCATGGTGGCTGGTTATACTAGCTAACCAGGACCTGGTCATGGTGGCTGGCTGTACTAGCTAGCCAGGATCAGGACATGGTGGCTGGCTGTACTAGCTAGCCAGGATCAGGTCATGGTGGCTGGTTGTACTAGCTAGCCAGGATCAGGTCATGGTGGCTGGTTGTACTAGCTAGCCAGGATCAGGTCATGGTAGCTGGTTGTACTAGCTAGCCAGGATCAGGTCATGGTGGCTGGTTGTACTAGCTAGCCAGGATCAGGTCATGGTGGCTGGTTGTACTAGCTAGCCAGGATCAGGTCATGGTGGCTGGTTGTACTAGCTAACCAGAATCAGGTCATGCTAGCTGGTTGTACTAGCTAACCAGGATCAGGTCATGTTTGCTGGTACTAGCTAGCCAGGATCAGGTCATGGTGGCTACTCACACTGATCTGGGAGGAGGTGGCGGAGAGGCCCAGGGTGATGTTGGGTAAGGAGGGAGACGTGTACAAGCTCAGAAGGTTGGACATGGAGCCCTCTGGACGGAATAACCTGGGCTGTGATGGCCAGCGCTGAAATTACAGGAAAGAGAGAGAGGGAGAGATAGAGAGTGCGAGAGAGAGAGAGAGAGATTTAGAAAATCTGACTATGGAACATTTCAAAGAGCAACAAGAGCGCTGTAATAAATGTTAATGCACTAAGACGGAGAAGGTTCCGGCTCCCAGCAGTACAGCAGAAAGAGCTTTTACTGACGGATGATAAAAAGGAGAGACACTTAAAAGTGTGTCATCAAATGAAGGATATCTCTGAAGACAACATGATCGGGTATCGTTTAGCATCACATCCCCCCATCCACCACAAATCTACCCTTCTCTTCCAAAGACCCCTGTACCCCGTCCCTGGTCCTCCCGTCCTCCAGCCACAGGCCCCACCCTCCTCAGGCTATTCTTTCTCCCAGAGAACATCAGTGTAGCTGGGACATGCTTCCTGTACCCAGCAGGGCCAGCAGAGAAGCCTAGCAGCATGTGGTTCTGGAAGGGCCGTGTTTATCCTTCCAACCCCTCTAGTATTCAGTGACCTGTACAGGGATATCCGGCCTGTATTCCACCCCAGGGACCCGTTCCCTCTGAAAAAGGATACCTAATGTAACGGTGCACAAACATGACTTGCTTTTGCAACAGACATGAGGCCTTTGGTTAGCCCCCGCCAGTTAGCCCCCACTAACAGTCCCACCACAGTGATTTTCATGAGAGAAAGAGTCTCAGCTTTGGGCCGATACAATAGCAATCCTGTGTGTTTATGTTGTTAGCATGTGGGTGGGTGTCTTTGGCTACCAGCGCCTGGGATATCAATTAAGCTCCACGGTTCCCCCCCTCCTACCCAATGGCAGGCCTGTTACTCCCCTCTCTATGTCACTGGAGGTCCCTGAGAGAGTAAACATCGCTGGTTAAAGAAAACACAGCTGCTCTGTTAAATATGTTTCGGAGATGTATCATATCTGCCACCCGCTATAATGCAGTGTTTTGTGAGGCTGGGGTCCTAGGAGAGCCCCTGCCCCCGGCTAGTCACTGAGTCATGAATCTTTTGTGGAACGCCTTAGAAGGAAGGGAAGAACTCACAGACAGGGCTGTAGTCAGGCAGCTCAGCGACAGCTATCCTATGACACGCCAACAGAACGCTTAGCTTGGATTCTTTTAGACTGTTTTTGGATTATTTTTATTTATTTGAATATTTGGATTCTTTGTTAGCGTATAGAGTAGCTAAATAGCTTGCACGATACGTGTTGAGCAAGGAAAAAATTCAAGGGGTGTGAAAATTATGATTTGAGATACTGCAGGATACATTTTTTACCACAAAACAGTAGGGAAACACACAGTGATCCAAGATGGTTTCTGCTCTGAGAATTTATAGAGATTGAATTGGAACGAAAATACTGCTGCCAATATTGCCTCACCTTAAGAGTTCATGCCATGGATATGCAAATGCTTTGCATGTCACCCTTTATAAAAAAATTAGAAGAAAAAGGAAAAGGAAAATAAATAGTAAGTAGAAAGAAACAAGTCGTTTTAGTAAAGCAGGTGGGTATTACGTATGTAGACATTATGGGAGAGCTGTGCCTCTTTATTTCTACTGGACTGTGACAGACTGAACGGTTATAGACAGACGGAGGGGACAACTGGCTGTTTTCATAGCTGAACACACACACACACAGGCAGGCAGACAAACACCCCGTGTGAGACATGACTTAAGAAGTTAGATTTTCACCATTCAAATTATTTATCTTGAACCCACTTGAATATATTAAAAGTCACTGTAGTGTGTGGAGGAGAAATACGAGTGGGTCTGGCTACTGTGCTTTAGCTTCTGCTTTGGTTGCTCTTAGGGGTTTAGGCCAGGTCACTGTAAAGATCTTTGTGACAACTGCTGATGTAAAAAGGGCTTTATAAAATAAAATAGATTGATTGATGGTCTGGGTCCGTACCTCGGTTTTTGTGGTGGTGGGGAGAGAGGAGGGCCCGTTCTCAGCCCCCAGGGCGCTGGAGGCGAATCAATAAAAGTCACTGTAGTGTGTGGAGAGATCGAGGGACGGGTCTGTTATGTGTTTGTAGATCTTGTGCGATTGGTTGCTCTTAGTGGTTTGAGGACAGGTCACTGTAAGCGGCTATTGTGACAACTGCTGATTGTTAACCGGGCTTATAAAACAGGGATTGTTATGGTCTGTGGTCCTGTGACCGCAGTTTTTGTGGTGGTGGGGAGAGAGGAAGGGCAGTTTCGGCCTCCAGGGTCGCTGTGAGCTCAGGACGGGAGAGCTGGGTCCTGAGCCTGGGGCACTGTTAGTGGCTGTAGAGTCTGTAGAGAGGACAGAGAGATAGACTGTTAGTGGCTGTAGAGTCTGTAGAGAGGACAGAGATAGAGACTGTTAGTGGCTGTAGAGTCTGTGAAGAGGACAGGGATAAGAGACTGTTAGTGGCTGTAGAGTCTGTGAAGAGGACAGGTAATAGAGACTGTTAGTGGCTGTAGAGTCTGTAGAGAGGACAGGGATAATGTTAGTGGCTGTAGAGTCTGTGAAGAGGACAGGGATAATGTTAGTGGCTGTAGAGTTTGTGAGAGAGACAGGGATAATGTTTAGTGGCTGTAGAGTCTGTGAGAGGACAGAGTGAGACTGTTAGGGCTGTAGAGTCTGTAAGAGGACAGGGATAATGTTAGTCGGCTGTAGAGTCTGTGAAGAGGACAGGGATAATGTTAGTGGCTGTAGAGTCTGTGAAGAGGACAGGGATAATGTTAGTGGCTGTAGAGTCTGTAGAGAGGACAGGCGAAGGATAATGTTAGTGGCTGTAGAGTCTGTGAAGAGGACAGGGATAATGTTAGTGGCTGTAGAGTCTGTAGAGAGGACAGGGAAAATGTTAGTGGCTGTAGAGTCTGTAGAGAGGACAGGGAAAATGTTAGCGGCTGTAGAGTCTGTGAAGAGGACAGGATAGTTATGGCTGTAGAGCTGTAGAGGTCGTAGAGAGGACGAAGATAGAGACTGTGTAGGCTGTAGAGTCTGTAGAGAGGACAGGGATAATGTTAGTGGCTGTAGTCTGTGAAGAGGACAGGGATAATGTTAGCGGCTGTAGAGTCTGTGAAGAGGACAGGGATAATGTTAGTGGCTGTAGAGTCTGTGGAGAGGACAGAGATAGAGACTGTTAGTGGCTGTAGAGTCTGTAGAGAGGACAGGGATAATGTTTAGGGCTGTAGAGTCGTAGAGAGGACAGGGATAATGTTAGGGCTGTAGAGTCTGTAAGAGGACAGGGATAATGTTAGTGGCTGTAGATTCTGTAGAAGAGGACAGGGACAGATAAGACATGTTAGTGGCTGTAGAGTCTGTAGAGAGGACAGAGATAGAGACTGTTAGTGGCTGTAGAGTCTGTAGAGAGGACAGAGATAGAGACTGTTAGTGGCTGTAGAGTCTGTAGAGAGGACAGGATAGATGTTAGTGGTGTAGAGTCTGTAGAAGGGACAGGATAATGTTAGTGGTCTGTAGAGTCTGTAGAGAGGACAGGGATAATGTTAGTGGCTGTAGAGTCTGTGAAGAGGACAGGGATAATGTTAGTGGCTGTAGAGTCTGTGAAGAGGACAGGGATAATGTTAGTGGCTGTAGAGTCTGTGAAGAGGACAGGGATAATGTTAGTGGCTGTAGAGTCTGTGAAGAGGACAGGGATAATGTTAGTGGCTGTAGAGTCTGTAGAGAGGACAGGGATAATGTTAGTGGCTGTAGAGTCTGTGAAGAGGACAGGGATAATGTTAGTGGCTGTAGAGTCTGTAGAGATGACAGGGATAATGTTAGTGGCTGTAGAGTCTGTGAAGTGGACAGGGATAATGTTAGTGGCTGTAGAGTCGTGAGGGCTGAGAGATGACAGGAAGTATAAGTGTCTATGTGCTAGTGATTAGCAGTGTCTGTTACAGAGTTATGTGCTAGATTGTGGACAATGGTAATTAGGCTAAGTCTTAAAACAGGTGACAGATAAACGACGACAGTCATAATGACATTAAGTGGTCTTATTTGTGACCAGTACCGGATCATTGTCAGGGCTGTCTGTCTGTAGAGGGTTCATACAGTGACGTGCTTACCTCTTAGCAGTGGATAATGCTCTTGCTTAATCTAGAACTCAACCTTACAATATTGGGCTCTAGAGTCTGGAGGACGGACAGAGTTAAAGAGGATGGGATAATGTTAGTGTGTGAGTTGTAAGACATTCAGGCTGAGGAGGGAAGACAGTTGACGAGAGAAAGGAGTTCCTTGCAATGCTTAAACTTTGCCTTCATGCTGAATCACAGCTTAATCTCTGAGCTGTAATTGAGAGAGCGAGAGAGGGGATTCAGAGAGACTCAGGCTGAGAGTAGAGTAGAGAGAGAGAGAGAGAAGAGATTGGGAAGTTAATAAACTTCCAGTGCTAATGAGAAGCTTAAATGATAAATGAGAGAGAGATGAGAGAGAGAGGAGAGGAGAGAGAGAGAGAGAGAGATCGAGTAGAGAGAGTAGAGTAGGAGAGAGAGAGAGAAGAGAGAGAGAGAGAAGGAGAGAGAGAGAGAGTGAGAATGAGGTAGGATGAGAGGAGAGAGTATAGAGATAGAGAAGAGTTAGTAGTTAGTACTGCTCGACGATGAGTAAGATTCAGAGCTTGAGTGAAGCGAGGAGAGCATAGGTCGTAGTTTTTTTCTCTCGAGATGAGAGATGAGAGAGATGGAGGAGTAGTAGATGAGAGAGAGAGAGAGTATGGTTTAGTATGGTTCATCAAGTCCTTAGTAGTATACTCCATTTACTATATCTATTTATATGGCTGTAGTGGTTGGTGTTGGTGGCCACTGTCACTAACAGAAGACAGCCACCAATCAGCTTGAGTTCCCTCAAAGAAAGGTTTACCAGTGGGAGGGAGATTTATGCCGTACTGTAGCTCACGCTTGACAGGATTCAAAAGATGGTTTTGATACATTATAGACCAGGACAGAATTACACATACTCTCCGTATCTTTAAACACAGTTGTAAAAATGGGGAACAACTCAGCAAGGTATAATAGTACTCCTGTCAAAGTTGTAATACTTTTAAACATGGAAGAAGTACAGACCACAGTTCTGGTGGTTTCCCTTCAACCAGATGACACCATTTCATTTCAGAGAGAACATTCTGAGTCCAGATTGGGCCCATTTCCACCTCATCTGGTCGAAATTAGGTTGAGCAACACACAGGGTCTCTCTAAGTGAAGTGGTCGCTACCTGCTGCCCTGGTGACCACAGCCTGATACAGTAGCAGCAGTTAAACTAACACAAAAACATGGCAGATGTTTCAGCTACGTTCCCCACACCATCCCCACACTCCTAATGCAAACCAGAGATAGCACCCCAAACACACACACACACACTCCCAAGTCACTCGACAACGTGTCCGAGGCTAAACTAATCCAGACCCACTTTTAGATGAAGTCCTAATGGACAGCTTCTGTTTGAGAGAAATATGAAGAAAGTCAAGTAGTGACGGAGAGTAGA